AAAAAAAAAAAAAAGGTGAGCTGAATTAAAAAGAAGACAGACTTCTAAAGCAGCCAAGGGAGTGAACTCTGGTCTACCCTGCGTCCCAGGGACAGCAACTGTGCCGCTTGTTAGCACCGTGTGCTTAGCTGTCCCCACTGGCTGCAGCAGGGCCACTATTACTGCAGACTGCATAGTGGTTTCTCTGTGGAGCTGGGAACTATGGAAGCCTCCTTCTGTTGGCCTTAGAGGTGAAGAGTTCCCCAGAAGTATCTGAGTATCGTGGAAGTGTACTTGCATGCTGTGGCTGGCAGAGCCCACCCCTCCAGAGCAGGATGGCCAGAACTCAAGTGGAAGTGGCCCGGAGGGCACCAAGCTGCACCTGCACTCGATGCTTGGGGACCCTCTGTACCCTGACTGAAGAGTGATGAGGCTTAGCTTGCCGGGCTTTAAAGAGGAGAAGTCTGTCTTAGGGCACCCCATTCTCACCCTAGGGCATCTCTAGTCTCCAAAATGGCATTCCTCCTTTTGAACCCAGTTTTGCACCCTCTGCATTCAGGCTGATATGGCCATCTCTAAAAGTTTCCTCAAAAGAGGTTATAGGATGCTAAGTCCGAAATGGGCTTCATAGTGGCCCTTTTTAAAAACATTTTAAAAATGTTTTATTTATTTTTGAGGAGAGAGAGAGAGAGGGAGGTAGGGAGGGAGGGAATGAGCGGGAGAGGGGCAGAGAGAGAAGGAGACACAGAATCTGAAGCAGGCTCCAGGTTCTGAGCTGTCAACACAAAGCCCAACACAGGGCTTGAACTTGTGAACTGCAAGATCATGACCTGAGCTGAAGTCGGACACTTAACTGAATGAGCCACCTAGGTACCTCCACAGTGGCTTTTAATATGGCAGGGAGTTAGTCCAGAGCAGGGGGCTGGTGGGGGCAATGTCGGAATCCTGAGGCAGGGCAGGGAAGCAGGGGGATAGAGAAAGCCTTTCCGGTAATTCTGATGCACTGTGGAGGGGGCACCTTCACTTGAGAATCAGAGATAAATCAAAGTCTTTGTTTTTCAGCTGGGGAAGCAAAGGCCCTGCCCAGAAGGGCAAATGCACAGGTTAAAATGGGTAAACACATCTGTAGATTTTGCAGTGAGGCACAGAGTCAGGACACTGGGAAAGAAAGAGAACACAGTAAGGTTTCCTCTCTGAAACCAGTTACAACTGGTTAAAATGGAGGCCCACAGTGGCCTGGACAGGGAAAGGAAGGGTAGTGTATGGGATTCTGAGTGTTGCAGAAACTTTGCCTGTAGCCTTAGAAAAGGCCACTCTCCAGTCCCCCACCCTCATTTATGCTGCTGATTGGAGGCTGCCCAGGACCACTGTGGTCGAGTCTCAGTGTCTCTGAGCTCACTCTGAGCTCTCTCCTCCCTTCCAGCCATGACTGCCTGGGAATAGCAGCCGGCCGCCAGGAGTCTGGTCCTCTACAAACTCTTGGCAGTTTCTTGGTCTTGGGTTGAAAGTCCCCAGAGAACAAAGCCATATCTACAGAGTGGCCTTTGTACAGTGCCAGCCAGCACTGGCCATGCTAGAACACAAACTCCTCTGAGGTGGAGCTGCTGGGTGAAGGTCCTGGCCTCACTTTCCTGACTCGATTTTAGAGAAGGGAGGAGTTTGGTCCATGAGAAATTTTGCCTTTGAGCCCATTTTCACTCTCAGGACTGCCCATTGAAGGCACGCTGTGTGTGTGTGTGTGTGTGTGTGTGTGTGTGTGTGTGTGTGTGTGTGTACAAGGTCTATTTTCTATGCTTGCTGCTGAGTGAACAGGAAGAAAAGGGCTGACATTGCACAGGGGGATTTAGGTGAGTTGGGATTTACAGAAGAAGCCTGAGACAGATTACAGTGCAAAGTGCTGGGACAGATTTCTGAGGGTAACTGTGGAATTCAAAAGGAGTTATTTAGAAAGACAACATGTCCCAAGGATCTAAGCTTTCTGGAAGTAGGGAGGTGGCCCAAGTGACCTTTTTTTCAGATCCTGCAATGTTGTAATTACACAGATAAAAGAATAGTTTTGACGTAGGACTTTACACTGTACGTTGGTAAGGAGAAATTTTAGTTATAAAAATATTATATATAGGTTTTTAAAAAAGAGATGGGTATGATAATGAGTGAGAAAAACTTTTAAAGGCACTGCTTAAAAGAAAACACTTGGGAGATATCCCAACACTCTGGCCTCTTGGGCTCTGCTATCTTTTTAATTCCCTATATTCATGATCTCTGGCTTATCTGTGAATTTGGTTAACACATTCCCCAGCCGCTCAATTGGATAAGATAAGACAGAAGATGTTAATAGAGAACCCTCCATCTTTTCCCACTGAGTCTGATTTCAGGATTCATTGACTTGCTAAACCCAATCTTTTCCCCGAATTCTGTGTCCTATACGGGCTTATCAACATGGAAGATAATCTACCCGCCAAGCATCCAATGAGTGCCCACAACAGGCAGAGAGCAGATGGGGCAGGCAGCCTGTGGCCCTGGGGACCTGCAGAGAAAGGATGCTGCTGGGGCACCGGAGGCTGGAAGGGGACTTGTCATTGGGACTGGCCAGTCTGGCTGTAAGGAGCACTCCTCCAAGCACTCACCTGCTCTACCAAGCAGTGGGTGTGTGCTTTCTACTCACCTCGGCCGGTGCTGTAATGCTGCAGCTTATCGCTGTACACGGCCTCTTTGCTGTAAGCCCGTTTCCTGTAGATGAGAGGAAGAGGAACTCTTTTAGCTGGAGTGCACCCCTGCTGCTCGGCTCCAGGGGTCTCCCCCAGCTACCCTGTCCCGACGGGGGCTCGCTAGGGCATCTTCTGGGACTGGGAACTGGGCAGCTCTCACTTTAACATTTAGCTCCTGTCCTGCTTCCTGGAAGCCGGGTCTGCTTCTGGGTCCCCATCAGAGCCTGGGGCAGAGGTTCTCAGGATACCCATCAGCATGCTGGCTGTACCATGGAACTGCTCAGGAGAAGCCAACTACAGTGCTTTCCAGAGCAGAATCTGGGCTAACCCCCAAAGGCAGTAGCAACAGTATTAAAAATGCACAAGGCCTCAGGGCCTGCCCTTCTGCAGAACTTGGAGTTCCTGTTTTCCTCCTTGGCTCTCCTCCTGACTGCCTGCCTTGTGCCCTCTGCCGAGGGCCTTGGCTCTCTAACCAGACGATGGGTTGCAGTATAGGTTGTGATGCTCCAGTGGGTCAAATGCAATTTGGTAACTGTGGCTCCAACAGTGAGGGGGAATAAAATGAGGTTTGAAGATGGATGCTGTTTACCCATAGCCTTGCCCAGCTCTTATGGAGGATTTTATCCCAGGCACAGAGAAAACAAATAATCTGGACAATTCTAGGCTGCCTGTGGATTGAGATGGAATGATGACCATGAGCTTGACAGCAAGGCTGTGTATGGTCAGGCCCCGTCCAGTCTGCATGGCCTGGGAGGGGCCTGCATGTGGAGAGGGGCTTTCTGAGTCTGAGGTGAGCTAGTGGGAGCAGATGGAAGTAGAGGACCTACCTGCTACAGACGATGGAGATGGCCACCAATGACACCACGAACACGACCCCGGCTGCTGCCGAGCCAGCAATCAGTGGCAGCTGCTCCCTCAGCTCAGACTTGTAGTCATCTAGGTGAAAAAGAGGCATTAGAGTTTTTCCTGTGTGCTCATTGCATACAGCTGGGACTCCATGCATGACACTAAAGACATTATAAATGTGTGTGTGTGTGTGTGTCTATATGTATGTATATGTAGAGTACAGCTTCCATGCTTCAGAGCTAGAAGACCAACTAAAACAAAGAATGATCTTCAAGTCACAAATAAACAAGAACAACTAGAAGCAAATGACAGTAACAATAAAAACAAAACATCAGGGATAGAAGCTCAGAATTAAACGCTGATGACATGCGTCCCCACAGCAGAGGTGACTCCAATCTACATCCCCTCATTTGGAAGGTATCTCAAAGGACGGTCAGTCATGCTAGGATACGTCTAAGGGGAAGAAGAAAAACCACTGCTGAAGGACTTTTGAAAACACACAGGTGTTGAAACACAGCACAGCGTATAGATTCTTTGAGCAGATATTTAAAGAATATCAGCAGCTGGGCAGCAGGTGCTACACCAGGAGCTGTGGAGGATGAAGGAACGCCGGAGAAATGGCCCGGCACTCCAAAGTTCCCACTCAAGAAGAATACAATCAAGGCCTCTGCCAAGGTTAGAACCGTGCTGTATTATGCGGGCAAAAAGGAAGCCCCTGAGTCACAGAGGTGAACAGAGCTCCCCGAAACCCTGGCTTTACCATGGGTGAGCTCTGTGATCCTGGACAAAGTCTTTAGTCTCTCTGACCCTCAGACTCCTTTCTACTAAAAAAGGTAATAATAAAACAATCAAATTATGAGAGGCACAGTTTGCAATGTCTGCACTATCACGGGTGTCCCAAATCCTAATACTCTTTTCCTTAATACATAGAAACCACTTGGCCTAGCTGGCTATTTTATTATTATTATTATTATTATTATTATTATTATCATGCTTATTCCTTCACTTGGCATTAAGGACTGAGGCATACAGAGATCAAGCTTTATGTGTTCTATTACAATTAAGGTTGCCAGATACAGTAAATATCTGTAACTGCCAGATACAGTAAAATAGGCCGACCAGTTAAAAGTGAATTTCAGGTACACAATGAATAATGTTTCAGTGTAAGTATACCCCAAATGTTGAATGGGAGATACTTACTTAGAATAAAATATTGTCAGTTCTTTATCTGAAATTCAAATTTATCTGGCCATCCTGTATTTCACTTGGCAACCTCAATGACAATAGCTCTTGAAGTGAAATTCACCATGTCCTGCATCAGAATCACCTGAGCCCGATAATAAACCATGACTTTTTCTAGGGCCCTCCTCAGGTCTACTGAATCAGAACCTTTGAGTGAAGAGCAGAATATCTCCATATTTACCAAATGTTCCAGGCGATTCTCATGCTGCCCAAAGTTTAGGAACCACTGTTCAACTCTGTGGGTGGAGAAAGAGACTTCCAAAGATAAGGATGTTATTCTCGAAGCCACTCCATAGACATCAATTTTAAAGACTGAAGGTATAGTGTCTCAACTGACAGCTTTCTGTAACATGTGTGTTTAAAAAAAAAATGGGGTGTGTGTGCCTGGGTGGCTCAGTCAGTTGAGTGCCCGACTTTCGGTTTCAGCTCAGGTCTTGATCTCACAGGTCGGGAGTCTGAGACCCACACTGGGCTCTGCACTGACAGTGCGGAGCCTGCTTGGGATTCTCTTTCTCTTCCTCTTTCTCTCTCTCTCTCTCAAAATAAGTGATTAAACTTAAAAAAAATTTTTTTTTTGGCAAAAGAACAAAATTCAAGGAACCACAATGAAGAGTCCATAAAAACATCTTTATAACTTAAAAACTTCATAAAGCAATGTGACCTTCAGTCTTTAAAATTGATTTCTAGAGAGTGAGAGACTTCAAGAACCAACATCCTTATCTTTAGAAGTGCCTTTCTCTGCTCACAGAGTTGAATGATGATTCTCAAACACCGGGGAGCATAAGAATCACCTGGACTGTTTGATAAACATGCAGATATCATGCTGTATGAATGGGTTAAAAAAAAAAGCATATAAGCCAAAGGTTAGCACACTAGAGCTAACAGCAGCCCATAGTAGCTCTGCTGTCATGTGGAGGTCAATGCTGCCCAAAGTGTGGTCTTTGACCCTGGGCAGAATCCTATAGGTCCTCCAGCTCCAATGACCTATCACTGATCAACCTTCAACTCACCTTTATGCTGAAGATGGGGCCCAAAGCCTCAGTGAACATAATTACTACTGATGTGCAAACCTCAGTCATTAAGATAAATACTCCTGAATTTGGCCACTTACCAAAACTCTCTTATATCTAGCCCCTCTTGGGTTTATAAAACTTAACTGCCAAATGTAAAAGGAATAGTCTTCTTGGGAGAAATTTGTTACTTCTTGATTTGTCTAGCAGAATTGCCAAGAGACCAGTGCTCAGAGCATTCTGAGTTTTGGGTTTTTAATCCTGTGTACTTCCTGGTGCCACAGTGCCCATAAATCTAGATGGTAAGTAAGGTGCAAAGAGGGGACAGAATCCTTAAGGAACAGGAGACAGCCTGCATTCTTTTCATACCGGCAGCATTATTAACCTGAATAAATTGGCTCAGTTTCTACCCCATCTCACTATCCTCAAAATATGAGCGAAGATTCACCTGAAAAGAACTCAAAACGAGTTGCAAACTCCAATCCTACAGGAGCCAGAAAACTCACATTAAAGCATCTGGGTACAAATCACTGGGAAGGGGCAGATGCCCCATGGGGGCAGCCACCTCTCAGCTCGGGGGTACAGCCCTCCCCCTACAACGCCCATCAGCTCTGGCTTCTTTTCAGCTTTTCACAAGAAAATGCACATTATGGTTTTCATATGAAATCATCTGATTTTAAATGTTTCTGGTGAAATGTTAAATTGTTAAACATCATAATGTGAGTCAATATAAAACCTCAGGTCCTATCACGCGCCTAGTCAGAGAGTGCTGGCCTAAAATAAAATGTTATGTAAAGGCAGACTGTTTTGTGTGTAATTTAATTAATAAGTGAAAAATTAAAGGCTCTCAGTTGAGGGGGTTGAGAAGAGACTGATATCTGGAAAACTATCAGGAAACAGCTCACAAATGAATAAATAAAATGGACAGTGAAGAGAAAAACGAAAGCATACACCACAGTAAATGGCTGGCTAAGGGAAAGAGTGGGTGAACACAGGCAGATATCCCATGCCGCCTCCTCAGGCTACAGGGAAATCAGATTTTCATAACCATTTAAAAGCGTGGTCTCAGAGGACCAGGAGAGACTGTCATTAATGGGGAACTAACAAAGCCCAAAGGTGGAAGTATTTTGGGTGACAGGCTTTCTGGCCTTGGGGATGGTTTAGAAGATAATGTCTGTCTATTATCACTGGAGATACATGGCTAGAGTCACATGTGAAGCTGTTTCAAACAAGCTGAGATACTGGTTGCATGGGACAGCTATACCCCCAAATTTGCCCCTCTGTGTCCTTCCTGGAGACCTTATCTCGTGAAATTAGGTTGTGAGCTCAGCTCCCAGTCCCCCAGAACAGAGGGGTGAAGTGGGAGTGAGGGTGAAACAACGGCAACACCTGGGCCCTGATTCTGAGGCAGGAGGCACATGAACCCTGAGCTACGTGGGGGTCTCCCTGCCAGGACCTCTCTGCACGTGGTACAGAGACCCACTGAAGGAAAACCCAAGCGATGTTAGGAGAGAAATAGGCCTGACTTCAGAAAGATGCCCTGCCTTGTGAATGACGCAAGAGTAATGCCCTGCCCCCACCCCCCCAGGGCAAACCCTTCCAAAGGAATCGCACTGGAATCCAGTGAGAGGTTGGCACTTGGGCTGCAAGGGCAGCTTTTCAGGGCCTCTTCCCCTCCCCCAAGTGCTGGCCCTGTACCACTTCACTGGCCTGCCTCTTACCGTCTGTCAGCGTCTGGAAGCACATCTTGCCACTGAACTTGCCGTAGCCCGCCACCGTGCGGGCACGCACTTGCACCACATACACCATGCCTGGCCGTAGGCCATCAATCCGCGCCGTGTTGGTCTGGCTCCTGGCCATGGAGGAGTTGAACTCATTGTGCTCCTGAAAGAGAGTGAGGAGAACGGTCTGCAGCCTCCTCCTGAGGTCTGTGTCCCCACCTACTCCACCCTGGAGCACCCAGGCCCTGTCAGTCCTTGGTCCTACAGATCTGCTAAAAGCTATCACTGGCCCCAGGCCCTCTCTCTGAATGGGGGACATCTGGCCTGGACCAAGGGAATGAAGGATCAGCTCTGTGTCATGAGGTGGCCATGCCCTAAAAAGGAGGCTCTGAGCAAATGGCTAGGCTCTCAGAGCCAGGCTGGGGGGCTCATCATCATTTTCTAGTCCTTCCCCATCCAGGGCTCAGTGCACATGCAGCTTTGCAAAATCCTGTTGCGTCTCCGATGTCAGTAGAAGCAAGCTGGGCAGCATCGGCCCTTTGTCTCCCCCTTTTTTTTTTTTTTTTTTTTTTTTTTTTTTTTTTTTTTTTTTTTGTTAAGGTTTATTTATGTTGAGAGAGAGAGAAAGAGCACACACATGAGTGGGGAGGGGCAGAGAGAGAGAGGGAGAGAGAGAATCCCAAGCAGGCTCCGCACTGTCAGCACAGAGCCCCAAATGGGGCTTGAAATCACGACTGTGAGATCATGACCTAAACTGAAACCAAGAGTCGGACACTTAATTGACTGAGACACCCAGGTGTCCCTGCCCTTTGTCTCATTTCTATTGAGGACTTGCCTTTTCTCTCCTCACTCAGGATCTCCTCACCATGACTGTTCTAGATCACCCCTTAAGCTCCCTCAGGTCCTAGTCCTTAGCTGAGTGACTTAGTGTCCACTCTGCTGCAAAGCCTGAGGCCATTCCAAACCACCTCCCATACCTGCTTCTGCCTTCACTTTGGCCTGTGTCAGTCTGTTTGGATCCCAACTTCTAGTTCCCTCTCCCCCAGCATCGGGAGGACATGTCTGTTCTCCCTGGAGAGCAGGCTCTGCCCCTTCTCACCTATTCAGGGGTCACCCCTCCACCCCCACCACTCTCTCCGGCACATTCTGCCTGGTCTTCTATAGTCTCTGTTATCCACACATGAGTGTCCTCTGGTGTGCACAGATTTTTGCTCCTGTTTCTCAGCCTTCTGACTCCCCACCCATAGTTGGTGCCTTCAAGGGTACTTCCTGTCTTTGCTACTAACATTTGGTTTGTAGCCTCCTATCTTTTCTGCCACTCCCTCTCCACCAAATCCAAACTGCTTTTCTAACAGGACGCCTGGGTGGCTCAGTCAAACATCTGATGTAGGCTGAGGTCATGATCTTACAGTTAGTGAGTTTGAGCCCCACATTGGGCTATGTGCTGACAGCATGGAGCCTGGAGACTGGTTCAAGTTCTGTGTCCCCCTCTCTATCTGCTCCTCCCCTGCTCACGCTCTGTCTGTCTCTCTCTCTTTCAAAAATAAAAACAAAACATTAAAAAAGATCTCTGACTTTCCCTAAAGTTATAATCAGATAAAAACAAAACTCCTAAATCTAGGTTTATAGGGTCCTCATAATGAAGCAATTCCAGTCTCTCACAACCCCCAAATTACCACCTCGCTGTCCGTTCAGGGGCCACACTCCCAGACCCAGGGCCTTTGCTTGGGCTGTTTTCCCGGTCTGAAATGCCTCTCTCTAGTGCTCCTCTGCACCCTGCATGTTCCTTGTGCCTGTATCTCTAAAGCCCCCTCTTCCAGGAAGGCTTCCCATGGACTCTGTTCATTGCTATCTTTCATCTTTACACCCTCCCCTCAGCGCCCTCATATACACCAGCCTGGCCTCTGATCATTTTCATGTGTGCATTATGAAGACTGTGGGTTATCTCCAAGTGTACAGGAACAAAAGTTTCAACTCTGGGACTGCCCCTGTCTGTACCATCAGTCTCAGAGCAAAATGGGGACATCAGTGAAAATGAAGAGCTTAGGTCACTGAGAGGGAAGCTCCCAAGTCCCTGTGCAGATCTGGGGTTCTGTGATGAATTCTAGGCACAATGGTTTGAGGGGCATGGTAACAAATGAGGGGAAAGCTGACGGCAAGAGATGTGTAAGCCACAGCCTCAGACAAGCAACAGAAGTTTGGGGAGTTGAGCCAGGAGAAAAGAATACAGTGCAATGATTTAAAAAAAAATTGCCATTGTTTTAAAATATGCAAACATCTACTTTGCAAAGGCAGAGGTGACCTGATGTGCATTCACTCAATCATTTGGCCCGGCAGCCACATTTATGGCATGCTACCGTGTGCTGGGTACTACCTACACATGGTTTCAGGGGCCAAGTCATGGCCCCTCTCCTTGGGGATGCAAAATCTTGTGGGGTGGACCAGAAAATACCCAGATGCTGACAGCAGTGCTGACTGAGTGACTTGGCAGAAGGCAGCTTAGGGGGCTGGGGGATGGGGGGGGCGGGAAGAGCAGAGGGTCACCCAACTCAGGCTGCTAAGGAGACTGGGAGGGTGACGTTAGTTGAGTCATCAAAGGCGGAAGAAATTAGCCACATGGACAAATACAGAGAGTGAGAACTGAATAGAACACGTGAAAGCAAGGCCTAAAGAGATGAGAAGCCTGCAAACAACTGGGCCCATCTAGACTGTGGTGACACATGCGGTGGTGACAAATGCTTGGAAGTAGTTTTAAGAGACCACAGGCTAGAGGTCAGCTTGAATAGACGGTTGAAGGTTACACACTCATTCTCATGGAGGGGATATCCATTGACCTCTGGGAGGGACTGCTTGGAAGGAACTGCCCATCCATCGGTTTGATCTATTAAAAAAAAAAAAAAAAAGGAGGATGCCCCCACCCCACCACCAATCAGGGATCCAGCAGAAAGAAGGCTGTCTACTATAGGAGGGATATTACTGTCCTAACACACTGAAGATCTAAGACCTAAACCTATATAAATCACCTAATCACCTTGCAAATTAGGACAAAATCCCATTGCTACAAAATCCGGGTAGCTGTCTGGATTTTCTGGTTTCACTGGTATCTGTGGAATTAGGCACTGCTTGAAAGAAGTGAAACATCCACTGGGCAGCTCTTTTACTGACAACTGTCTTTTGGTGTATTAGTATTTGGATTGTGAAGACAAAACATTAACCCTTTATCACTTTATAGCCCACACATCCAAGAAGTTCCATGATTAAAATGAGTATTAATCCTTGTTCTCTTCAAACCCATTAATCAACTGCAGGCAAATGGGTGAGAGCAAAGAGCACGTGGCTTTTTTGTTTGTTTGTTTGCTTCATGATTGATTCTATAAGCATGTGAGAGGTATAGATCATCGCTATCGAGGGCAGAGACCATGGCTCCCATCCCCAACCTGTGGCCCAGGGCTGGCACCAAACTGCTCAACGGTTCAGTGCTAAATGAATGAATAAACACCACACTTCAGACCAGTTATTTGAACCAATCGATCGAGCACAAGATATTGCCAACGCCTGAAAGAGTTTCTAGGAGAAAATGATCCTAAAATTTGAAGGGTAGAAATTCCCAAGGCCTAAACCAGTCCATTCTGGCCCAGACAGTTATGAAGAGCAAGAAAGCGTCTAAACGCTTAATCATGAAGACAGCTGAGAGCAGATGTAGATGCCCCTCCCATGGTTTGCCTACAAGTGCTGACACCAGGAGTGAAAAGTGCTACAAGACAGTAAACAAGAGAGGATGATAAATGGAAGCATATGAAAATGGGAAGGAGATGAACATGGAGAGGCTCTGGGAGTGTCATCAGCTCGATGGCATCTGAGCTCTCTATTAATGAGCTGTTGGAGGAGGCGAAAGCCTCATTGATTCTATTTATAGAGCTGAAATTGAAAGGTGTTCCAAGCATAAATTGAGAGGGCGATGTGAAGTAGGAGACCCAGGGTGGGTTTTCAGGGGTTGGAAAACTATGGCCCATGGCTAGCTACCTGTTTTTGTAAATAAAGCTTTATTGGAACTCAACCATGCCCACCTTCTGATATATTGCCTATGGCTGTTTTTCTTCTACAAAGGCAAGTTGAGTAGTTGGGACAGAGACTATATGGCCACAAACTTAAAATATTTCCTATTTGGTCCATTATGGGAAAAACTCTGCTGACTCCTGGCTTAGAAGAAGTGGCACAGAACGGAGGAATGGGGATTTATTTCTTTGGGGGTGAATCCAGGATATCTACTGGGCTGAGTTTTATTGTGTTTGCATCTCTAAAGACCAGGATTCGCCAGCCTCGTGGAGCAGGTAGGCAGATCATTCTGCTTATAAGAATTTGGATTTAAAATTAAGATACAATCTTTTATTTCACAGGCCACATTAATTTTGAGATCCTCGGCATCAGCATGATTGCTATCTAGTTCCTTACTGAGCTCGGAAATTTTCGCCATTGAAATATAACAAAAATGTCCATAGTTTTGATTCTCTATGGTCATGGGTAAGTCATTTAACCTTTCTGTGACTTAGTTCCATCACCTATAAATTGGTTATACCTGGCTTTCAAGTATCTTTCTTTTTATTTCTTTTCAAGATCAGAGCTAATGTATTTGTGAATATCTGGCACATAATAGATACTCAGTGTATGATGATTTATTACCACTGTGGTTATTTCAAAATACCCTCACAGGGTAATGTATTTTTCTTTATTTGTATTAGAAATGGTCCAGGCAATGTAACAGATCTTACAGTCAAGCACTTTATAAGTGAAGGAGAGTTCCGTAGTAACATACCGTATGGTAACCAATGCTTTGGCAAAGAATCTTCTGTGTTTCCAAGGAAAGCATTCTATCCTCTGGAGTGAGGACAATAATATGCTTCACTGAGGTGTGGAAGCTGCCTCGGGCATTGGGCTGCTGTGCATGTGTGTCTGTTAATAATTAGTATAAATTACGGAGAAGTAGGGACGTGGTCTGAAATGGGAGAATAAGCTTCCTTCATAGCATCAAAAGTTGAAGTTCATTACAGTATTTCAAAGGACAAGGCTTTCACGTAAAGGGAAAAGTAGCAGAAGAAGTTGAGTGTGGGCTGGAAAATGAGGAGCCAAGGGACACAGGCAGGAGCCTGTTACGAAGCCCACCCCTATGATGGCGTGAGTGCCTTTGGCAGGGCAGATGAGGCAGAAGGCAGGCGGTTCGTATGTACGTAGCTGATCTCCAGCACTGCCTTGTGTGACAAGCTCACTTCCTGGCTGTGTGCTTTTGGGTAAGTTTTATTTTGTTTTGAACTACTTTGTGCACTGGCTTCTTTACCCATAGCAATGATACTAATATTTACCACACTGGGTAGTGAGGACAAAAGTAGATAATGCTTATAAAGCTCTTGGCACCCAAGAGGGGCAGACTAGAGAGAAATTACTATTATTTTTCTGAGGTGAGCTTATAAGGCTCAAGTTCAAGTGTGTGTGGGAAGGGGCACTGTTAGAATCTTTCTGGTGATTCTGACATTGCATCATATGCTGGCCACACATGATAACTCTATCAAACTCTTAGGTCAATTTTGATGATGAAATGAGACTGTGTGGACAATTGGTCCAGGCAGATTGGTTCAAAACATTGTGGAAACCCAACATTTACTTTATTAACTGATAAAAAATATCTAGCAAACAAGGGCTCCCAATTCAAAGCTGATTGGACATAATGGTTGCTTATGAATCCAGATGGTTTAAATTACCCCCAATTCACAGAATTATCTGAATCAACTGTCTACAAAACCTAATATTCTCTAAATGGAATAGAACGTTACCTAATCCTCACCTTGCTTGCAAGTTCGGCCGCAAGGGCGGAAGGGTGTACATCCTCACAGACTAGATTGGTGATCCATCTAGCCCTCCACTTTCAGGGACACAAACTGCTACTATTTTACAAATGTGAAAACTGTGACCCAGAGTGGTTAAATAATTTGGCCATGGCTGCACAGCTGGTTAGTTATGGAGGGCACTGGAGACTAGAGCCCTCCTTCCCCAGGCAGTCACGTACCACTGTTCAATACTGCCTCCGTCCTGGAGGGCTGTGAGTCTCCATCTCTGATCCTCTCTCCACTGACCTACTGGATAGTTCTGCCGGGCTCAGGGCTTTCATACATTTACATACTGACAGCTTCCAGATGGACTTCTCCAACCTGGCCTCTCTCCTGAGCTCCAGGCAGGGACATCTAGCTGCCTGAACTACTGGCTATCTCAGAAGTGTTTTAGACATCGAGCTGAACTTCTGTCCCTTCCCTTATCACAAATATGCTCTCTCACAACAAGTACTCTTCTTTTTTTTCTTTTTTTTAACGTTTATTTATTTTTGAGAGAAAGAGACAGAGCATGAGGGGGAGAGGGACCGAGAGAGAGGGAGACACAGAATTGGAAGCAGGCTCCAGGCTCTGAGCTGTCAGCCCGATGCAGGGCTCAAACTCACAAACCATGAGATCATGACCTGAGCTGAGAAGTCAGACATTTAACCGACTGAGCCACCCAGGAGCCCCAACAAGCACCCTTCTAAGTCAATGGTGGCTACCTCCTTCTATCGGGCCAGGCCTAAACCCTCCCACATCTGAAGCCCAAACTGTTAGAAATCCTGTTGCTCTGCCTTTAGTTTATATATCTGGAATCTACCCTGCTTCACTAGCCATCTCCTTCCATCCAAATCAAGCCACCATCATCCTTGTTCCAGTTGGTTGTAATCTAGTAGGCCTGTTTTTAATGGGACAGCTGAATGGGCCTCTTAAAATGTAAGTCAGATTTTGTCTCTTCCTGCTTCTAACCCTGCTATATGAATCCTCATCTCACTCAGTGGTTAAGCTAAAGTTCTAAGGTCCAGCCTGATCACCTCCCCTGGTTACCTCTCTCACCTGTCTACTACTTTCCCACTGCTCGTACCACTCTAGTCATGCCAGTCTTCTTCCTGTTCCTAGAATCACCAGTCATGACCCTGGCTCAGGGCCTTTGCACAGGTGGTTGTCTCTCTCTCCCCCACTTCACAACAACCTCACCTCTTTCAAGTCTTTACTTAGAAGCTACCTACTCCAAGAGGCCTCCCTTTACCCTCCTATGTAATTCTGTAACCTGTTCCTCCCCTAAACCTGACCCCCTGATTCCATTTACCATGCTCTGCTCTATTTTCCATGGCATCATTCATTTTCTAACTACTATATGATCTCCTTATTTATTATGTTCCTTTTTTGTCTCCTTCTGTTGGAAAGTGAGCCCTGTGAGGGCAGGCATCTTTGTTTGGATCATGCATATACCCTGAATAGTACTTGCCAAATAGCAGGCACTTAATCAATACTTGTTGAACCAATTAATGAATGGAGTGTCTTTATAAATGATGTGCTGGGTCAGTATTTTCCTGGGATTTTGCAAATGCTGCAGTTTAACAGGGTGGGAAGGAGGTACTGCCTCCCCTACAGAGACCAAGGGGACGAACTCCACAAGGCACCACTTCCCTACTTGGCAGTGTGTGCCCTGCTGCAGGCCTCAGGAGCAGCTGCTAAAGAGCAGTCAGTGGGCAGCACAAACATTTCTTTTAATTTCTGTCTCATCCTTCAAAATTTCCACTTACATGTCCTCAATCTCTATGAATATACTAGTGCAGTAGTACATGCATATGACCTATAAATACACAAACATATATTGGAAGAACATGATCAAAAACTTTAGAGAACACGGCTCTACAAAACCACAAAATCTTTGGGAAGTTCAGGGGACACCTGGAACTTTGTAGCATCTATGTTAATAGAACATATGACTGGGAAAAATGGGATTGGTTCTGCCCATACCGGCCCACTGAACTGTTCAGACAGCAGGGTGTAGGCTGGAAGATTCTCTCCTGAGTTGACACAGGAAGAGTCTGGACTTTGGAGACTTTTGCCAACGAAGACCCGATGAACTCTCCCAAGGAGCCTCTGGCTTCCATCAGCAGATTTTTCCCTCCCTCAGGATTTCCTCCAGTTCTCAGATGGCCACCATCCCCCGGACAGTAGCTGGCCCTGGTATTGAAAGACTGAGGACGGAGCTGGCTCACCTTCTCATAGTACCGGATCTCATAGTCCAGGATGATGCCATTGGGCTGCTCCGGCTGTGGCCATGACAAGGTGATGCTCCTCATGGTGGCACTGACCTGGTGCATTATGGGAACAGTAGAAGGGGCTGTGGAGAGAGGAAGAGACAGGGCAGATGAACAGAACCTCGAGTATATGATATGCATCATCTTTCAGAGATAAATGAAGAGAGAAGTGTCTCTGGGTTTGAATCTACCCTTTCTTTCTTACCAGCTGAGCTGATCTGCAGAACTTCCTGTGGTTTTGCATAGTGAGTAGATTATGGATGAGAAAGGAGAGAAAAGGTGACAATTTAGGATAGGAGGACATGTGTAAGGGCAGGCTGGAATGGACACGGTGTTTCCTGGGCAGGGAGGAGAAAGGCTTGACCAAAAAGAGATGGTTGGTTGAATCACATGAAAGCAGTGTGGCTTTCAGCTTGGCTGAGGAAGCCGAGCCATCCAGGGAGGGTATGACAACCAGAGCAAGTCTAGGCTTCAGGCAGTGGCACAAGAAGAACAGTGGGACAGGAGGCACAATGGGATGTTTTTGAGCAGAAGGTTTTGAAGGAATCTCAGTCTTGCATTAATGGGGTGAGCTCCTATAAAGAAGAGAATGTGGAGGCAAGGAATGATAATGAGAAACTAGAACTGGTCAGTGCAGAATTACTGCCATAGACAGGAATGTTCTAGAAAGAGCAAACTCTTCAGAAAGAGCTCTGAAACTGCATGTAAGACTTTGCTGCACTTCAAAAGGAAGAGAGGAGGCAGTGCTCAAAAAGACATGAGCACAGACTACCAACAGAGTTCATTCAGACTTCTGTCAGAGTCTTCCAGATAAGGACATTTGCGATAAAGAGCTCACTAATATAAATGAAGAAATGATACACAAACCAAACATTGAAACAGGATAATAATTCCAAAATCTGTGAAGTGATTCCAAAATTTCTGTTAGGAAATAATATTATTTATTTTCCAATTCAACATTTTTTGTGCGGTGTAAGTAAAATGAAAACAGTCTGGAAATAATAAATGAGGGCTGTCTTTCTAGGGGAAGAGGCGGGTAATGGATGAGGCTTCAGTCTGCGCTCTGCTCAGGGGCTGTTCCGTTTAGTCCTGGCACTTCTCTAGTGATGAAGGTCGTTTCCTCATGCGAACTCCACTTTACAAGGGTTTCTCTGGGGGACTGTGGCGGACTGACATTTACTATCCTCACTTTAAGTTAACAGATTCCCCTCCAGAGCATGGCTGCCTGTCTGGGAGTGGGGGATAGGGTTGCTCTCCACTCACTGGGCTCTCAGTGAGTTCTCAGTGAGCTGGCCCCCAGGCCAGGGGAGGGGCTGCTGAGCACTTGTGAAGATGTCCATACTCAAGGGAGCCATTGGAGAGCCATCGGAGAGCACAGTGTGAGATGTGGTGTTAGGAGGACTTAGAATCAGAGAGTCCACCCAGGACCCTGCACGGTTCCCACTACAGACCTCAGGGTGACCCTGCAAACGTGCCTCTCAGAGCTTCCACCCCCTGGAAACACAGCTGACTCTTGGCCCTGGCTGCTGTACCCTGAAACCACCACCACATCCATGCGGGGCCCCATTTATCAGAGGCTGCTTCCAGCCAATGACTGAGAGCAGCAAGGATGCCTCAAAACAAAACAAAACAAAACAAAACAAAACAAAACAAAACAAAACAAAACAAAAAAAACAAAAAACCATTCCTGACTCTTCTGCTGGGCAGCTTTCACTCAAAGACTCCCTACTGGACTCACCAACGGTTCTTTGTACAGTGTGACGGTCTGAGAGTCTTCTCACCTAATCCTCCTTCCTGCCCTCTCTCCTTCACTGTGATCTGATGGCTCCGCCAGCCCCCTCTGGCCTCCTCTCCCACCTGCCCATCAATATCTGGCACCTCCAATCCCATCTTGGCGTCAGCCTTGTGGAGGACCTGATTTAAGGCAATTCTGAATCCCCCTATCAAGTACTCTCTGCTGGGCCCTGCTGCGTCCCCAGGGACTGGCTGCTCACTGCCTCTAGGGGCTGCGGCTTCATCCTTGGGTGTCTCTCACCAATGTGCATGTCTTCCTATCCCTATCTGAAATTCGGTGTCTTCTCACCAGTCCCAGTTCCACTGACTAAGGTAACAGAAAATGTTCTCTCTTCCACAGAATGGCTCGTCAAGTAACTAAAGAAGCTAGTTAGGTCTCCCCTGAGTTCTGCCTGCTGAAAACAACAGCCAGATACTATGAACATTTCTCCCATGACATGCTGCCCCCTGAGGTGGCTCTTTTCCAAATGGGGCTCATGTTATCTAAATCTCTCTGTAGGCATATGGCCCAGGGGTAAACCCAATTCTCCCACTGCTCTTTACTCATCAAAGATTAGGGTGAAACTACTATCTCCCATGATCCGGGTACCAGACATCAATGAAGGTGACCATTAGCCTTTTTTTTTTTTTTTTGGATCAAAAACCTGTTCCTGTCATTTGATTTGACATTACTGTCAAACAGAACCTTTAGGTTTTCTCATGGTGTGTGCCTCAACTTTTGTTTATAGTTTGCTTGTGGGTTTGACTACAAGGGTTTACACATACGCTTTTACCTTTATGGTGTAACATTTGGCCTATTCATCTAGGAAGCCGAAATAATTTGTGATCCCAATTCAACCATCAAATGTGCCTTCTCTTCCTCCTAACTTAGCATCACGGCTCAGGTCCATTAATGAACGAATTAAACAAATGTTCACCAGGCATTTGCCATGTGCCAGTCACCACTCTAGGTTCCAGAGATTCCAAAGTGAGTGAAATATAATCTCCTGTCCTCACGGAGTTTCTTTTCTAGCAGAGGGGGTCAAAGGCCAGATGTGATCAATCACAAGGTATGTTAAAATATTAAGTGCAACAGGAACAAATGGAGCAGGGGGGAAGGGACACAGAATGTCCAAGTGTAGGAGGCTCGCCGGGAGAAGGCTGCTGTTCCAAATCACAGGGTCAGCAAGGCCTTGCTTGAGAAGTAGATGCAGCCGCATGGGGGTGGAGGAGGGGAGGGAGGCACGTAACACCTGGGAAAAGAGCAATTGAGAAGGAAAGGCCAAGGCAATGGTTCTAAACTGGGAGCAGTCTCTTCCAGGGGAATAGCAAAGAGACAGAGGGACTAGAGAAGAGATAAGGCCACAGACGATGGCTTCTCCCCTGGGTGAGAAGGAGAGCCATGGGAGGGTGGCAAACAGAGGAGTGACGTAATCTGACTCGTATGTTAACAGCATCACCCTCTCCTGTGCTGCAAATAGAATTCAGGGGCCACGTAAAAGCTGAAAGCTCCATCTTAACACTATTGTCAGAGTCCAGCTGCAAGACTGTGGTTACTTGGACCGGGTTTGGAGCAGTGGAGGTGGTGAGAATGGGGGTGGTCAGATTCTGAATAGATTTAGAACATCTCAATGGATGTGGGATGTGGAAGAAACAGAACAGCCAAGATGACTCCAAGGTTTTTGGCCTAAGTGACTGGAAGAGTGGGGCTGCCATCAACTGAGATGTGGCAAGACATCAGCAGAAGCGGCCGGAGTAGGCAAATGCATGTATAAGAGGTCCAGACTGGAGACACCAGTTTAGATCCACCAGTTTGTGAGAGATACCGAAAGCAGCAGAACAGACAGAGATCATCATGAGAATGAGGAGAAAAGAATATATCATCTAAGATTCAGGAGAGGAGGAGAAACAGCCAAGAGACTTGAGAAGGAAAGGCCAATGAGCTAGAAGGAAGCAGGGGAGTGTGATTACCTAGAAGTCAAGTGACAGTGAGTGTCTCCAGGAGGAGAGAATGTGTGAAACGCTGCTGCTAAGTCACGTAAAAGGAAACCAGGAACTGAGCACAGAGTCAGCAACAGGCTGGATGGTTAAGTGGGGATGGCTCATGGCCCTCATTCCCAACCTTGCATGCACTGTCTAGAGTCCTGGAGAGGAGGAAGGTGGGGCAGTTCCTGGAGTCAGAGCAGAGCACAGGGTTGGTGGAGGAGGGCGGGGGGAGGGATGGATCCTGGTGGGCCCACCAACACAGGCACCCCAGGGAAGCCTCCTTCCCCCACCCCACCACACTCACTGTGCAGCTCCAGCTGCCCTTTCAGGCTCGCATGGAAACATGACTTCTATGTTGCCAACCCTGTCAGTGCCATATAGGTTTTTAGGATCCTCCTCTGTCTCAAGAGCTAATGCAACATGGATTAAAAATTGGAAAGATTAACTTTAACAGTCTGATGATTTTGATGGGCTTGGTTCTTTTCTCTGCCTCTAATCCCTGGAAAACCATCATTCAAGACTCAACATATTTGACAAACATTGTGCTGGGCCCTTGCTCTAATCACTGGGGACAAAAGGATGAGTAATAAAAAAGTCACAGCCCTGCCCTGAAGATCCTTGGCATGTAGCTGGGATTAGGTGGTAAAGAGGCAATCACAGGGCAGGGTAATCCAGAAGCAATCCAGAGTCACAGATGGCAAGGACCTCCCAGCCGCCAATCAGCACACGGATGGATCCGGGAGAAGCTGCCAGAGGGTAAGGGTCACCACTGCCAACATTGCTCAGATTTATGGTGATGACAGATGTTCACAGGCCCCCTTACAGGCTGTTTATCCTCACATAGGTCATTCTAAGTGCCTTACGTTTTAATTGAGATGGGATTTAGCACATGGGAGAGAGGAACAGAGTATTAGTCTTCCTCCCTGAAAATCCAAGACAGCTTATGTTTGGTGCTCTGACACTGGTGATCACCTACAGTGACAAACTATTTTTTCCTTCCCCAACTGCAAATGCCACCTCTAAATCTGGTGTTTTTACATGCTATAAAAACTTCCAACAAGACAGAAAATGAAAATGAGCACAGGTATCCCCTCAAACACCACCTAGCAAAACTAAGTCAGATTGAAGAGAGGTGGGAAGATTAATTCAAAGAAGCAGCCCCTCTGAGCCCCAAATATGCTGGTTTCAACAGTAAGTCCTGGCCAGTTGTCTCTTCTCCATAAACCTATGTCCTCAGATGAAGGAAGTTTCACTGAATGCTTAAAAAGGTCTCTCCCTCACAAGAATCCTTTTGACTAAATTAAACACTCTGTGGAGAGAAGAA